CTTGGTCTGATGTTAAAGTACTTGGGCTATGTTCTGCTACAAACTTTTGTAAAACTCTTAACACTTCACGAGTTCCTTTGTTCCTCATTGGATATGCATATGCTTTACGAGTGTTAACATTTATGAAGATGAGGAATGGTTTATGTCCTCCTTTTCTGCTTTGAATGAGAGTGTCAAATTGGTATGCGTCGGGAGTGTTGGAGTAAATTGGTAAAAAGTAATCGTAAGGATTTATTTTTGTTTGATGTACAACATTTTTGTTAAAGAACCTTTTCACTTCAGCTCTGTTAGTAAATCCCGAACTCTTTGCAGCTTCATTGAATTTCTTAAAAGACCTCCATGGATGTTGTTCGAATACTTCTTTTAAACTCATTTATGTAAAGTTAAAGATTTCATTGAACTCGGTAAGTCTAGACCCTTTGAGTCAAGGCTCAAGCGATTTCATTGAACTCGGTACCATGCGAATACAGTCATAAATGGTGGCATATAATCTGCACCCGAACCTGCTGGGTCTGTAATACCAGTTACAACATGTGTATGATTTCCTGCAGTTCCACAGAAAATATCCGTGCTAACATCTTTGGGGTCATCTGAGATATCATATCTGTTCATTCCCTGTCTATTCGAACCCGCTGCAAGATTTATATAACCTCTTTTTGTTATTGAATGTGAATGGTTTCCTTCCACAGATGTTGTTCCACTGAACTTATGCATATGTGAAGGAAGGTTTTCAATACCTATTTTCTTTGAACCTCCTGTTTGCTTTGAAGAGTTAGCACAATAGAGGAATTTATCTACAATCTGTTGCCATGTACCAAAACCTAAAACATCGGCTGGATTTGTTGAGTTCATTGACGTATAAATAGAGCCTATAGGATATATGGTTTCAAGAATCTGGGCCTTCATTGTTAGAAGTTCATGTTTAACGTTTATAGTTTTATTGCCTTCTACAATATTTATATTGTTTGTTATTAAACCATTAGGAAAAGTAGGAGGATAAATATTTTGTTCAACTAAAGGTGTACCGTCTCTTCCTGTTTTTGTTACTTTTTCAATGTATGCATTAATTTCTTTAATCCTGATTGTTTGAAATTCTTTATGCACGTGCTCTTTATCAGCTTTTCCATTAATTTTATCATTTACTTCCGACTTCTTTGCATAATTTTCATCTACCCATTCCTTTGCTTCTTCTGTATAACTCATTGCTTTTGTATCATAACGATTTAATTCTTCATCTACATATATTTTGTCGGTTTTATTGGCTAAATCAACAACCATATCTCTTAGGTTAGTGTGCATATCTTCATCACGCATGCTTGATGAAGCAATAGCCCAATTCAATATTATCTCATCAGCTCTAATAGTTGTGAAGAATTCATGTGTATGGTTCTTGTCTGCTTTCTTATCTAACATTGCTGGTAGTTCATGTGTTTCAAAGTTTCTGGCATGACCTTCAATGTTCCTGCAACTGTTATCTAAACTATTAAGAGTATCTTTTACGCTTGTACTTGGATTCTCTAAAGGTGCACTTGAACCAAGGTCAAAGTTCAATATTATGTCGTCTGCTCTAACAGTTGTGAAGGATTCGTGTGTATGAGTTTTGTCTGCTTTGTTGTCTAAAGAAGTTTGAAGTTCATTTATATCGGAGATATTGTGTTTATGAGATTTCAAAACTTTGTTCGTTGCGTCAAGTTCATCTTTGTCAGTTTTACTTTTAATAGCATCTTCAAAAGTTATTTTTGCCTTAACTCTCAAAGTAAATCTTGGTTCAACTAATACACCGTTAACAAAGAAGTATGAAGCATAAATTTCAGCGTTATAACCAAATGTTTGTGGTGCTTTACCTGTGTCATACTGTACAGTACAGTATGTCATAACCTTTAGCACGAATATTTATATCTTCTTTCATTAACATTTTTCGTCTTCACTTCTTCATCCTGTGTTAAATATCCATGATAGTCCGTTATAATCTGTTCATCTGAACTTATATAATGAACATGGTTCTTGTCTGCTTTTTGTGAAAGAAGTTCAACAACTTTTGCTTCACTTATGCAACCAGTGCCACTTTCATTTATTTTTGTCAGCATTGCGTTCAAAACTTCATAAAGACTAACTACTTCTTTTGGTTCTTGAAACAATGAGTCAAAAGTCTTTCTTAACATTACATCTTCAACTGTTATGACTGAGTCAATACCTTTCTCTTTTATTGTCTTAGCTAACTGACCTAAAACAACGAACATATAGTCTAAAATATTATCTTCAGTGTTAAACGCTATACTGTTTTCACGAATTGTTGTGTTTGTTGCTGTTAAAACTTCTTTAAACTCAGGATATATATTCAGTAGATTTTCAACAATTGTTTGAAACCACTTGTCCTCCCTTCATCTAAATCTCTTGCTGCCATTAAAGGATGTAAATTAATTGGTTCAATAATTCCGAGACGAGGGTTGTAAGCAAGTCCGTCGAACATATTTTTACGTTTGAGTGCCCAGTTAGTTAGTTTCTTTGTATTATTTTACTTTACCCCATAAATTTTTGAGACCGTCAAAGAAACTTCCTGTATTTCCATGTAATTTAGCAAACTCAACATAAAACTTCATGCTATCTATGCCACCAAGAAAAGCCCAGAGTGCATCTATCTCACTTTGCATGGTTATAAGAGATGCAGTTGTTACACCTGATGAAAATAAAGTAAACAACCACCCTAACCAACTCTTACCTGCTCCACTTTGTTCTACTTTCACAAAATCACTGATATGACTTTTTAAGTATTCTTTCGTAAGTAATGTGTCTCCAGGTGTAACGTCTCTAACGATATTATCTCCGTCAAAAGTCAATGTTCTAACTTGTGTCCGTGCAGCCTTTATTTTAAGCATGCATAGTCTGGTGTTTGAGGAGCAGAAGGCTCGATGTATGTAATTTTAAAGAAATCGTCATAATTTTTCTTAAAGGTTTCATATGTTGTTTTGAATGTATTGAACCTCATTATTATATCAAGAAGTTTTGTCAATGAGTCAGCAATTGCTTCATCTACTGTTGACGTTTTGAGTTTTATTTCTGCTGAGTCGTTTATGAATGGTACTTGACATTGAGTTGTATATGGGTCAAATCCTGTAGGACCCAAATGAAGCAAGTAGTCTAAAATATCACGAACAGACTTTGAGACAGTTGTGTTTCTTCATGACGATTTCACCATTTACAATGAATGGCATAGTACATGAAGTTATTTGTGGGTCAAAACCAGAAGGATTGAAATGAAGCATATAGTTCAGCGCCTCATACACTGACTTATACACTGTTTCATTATTTTTTGACACAATTTCACCATTTACAATGAATGGCATTGTCGAAGGAGTTGTTTTTGTATCGAACCCTGAAGGATTGAAGTTAAGAATGCTTTCAAGAGCTTCATATACAGACCTATAAACAGTTGTGTCGTTCTTCATGACAACTTCACCATTTACAATGAATGGCATAGTGCATGGAGTTAAAATTGGGTCAAACTTTTCATAGTCCTTCCATGTTTATATTTCTCAGTATTTCCATCAGAAATAACAATATATTTGTCAGTAAGTGTGAGAGAGTATTGACCAAAATATAAACGTTTAGCTCTGTCAGCTTCATACGCATATGCAGCTATACTCATATTTTAATGAGAATAAAATGTTGTTCTATTTGCAAAGTACAGACCCAAACGAATACGGGACAGTCAAGCTACAAACAAACTTAGGTCTACAGAATGAGGCACTTGCATTCAGAATGGTTGACTTTAATACTATCGCTTCATTCGTTATAACAGATGAAACAGATTTCATGGAGCTTGAAATAGATGGAAAGAAGCACGAAATAAGATTTCACAATAATGTAGAATATAAGATGGAAACATTAGCTGGAGTGTTAAATGCTCTCATAAATACTACAATAAACAAGGATAACGGAGAAAACTTAATGAATGTTAAACTTATTGCAGGAGTTTTGAAGTTCAGTTATGCGAAGGAGTTTAAGTTAACACGAATGAGTCATAGAGTTCAATTGCTTCTGGGAGCATACCATATGACATTTCCTTTGAAAAGTGTTGACAAAACGATTGAGATGAAATCTGTTCCATACGTATGTTATGGTAATTGTTTGTACGTTGAGTCAAAAATAGCTAATGTCACAGGTATTTCAGGAGTTAATAGTAAAGGTTCAGTAGAATATAAATCTTCTGTTATGCAGTCAATTCAATGTTCATTCCAAACGTTCCTGTCATAGTAACTCATTTAGGTAAATGGGTTCGCATTAGCCCTCACAATTTGAAAGATATGCAATTCAGACTAGTTGACTTTCAAGGCGAGCCCGTAAGTTAGTACACCAGTCTTGGGTATGGTGGCACTGCGTTCCACCTTACCCAATACTTGTGAATTTGACACTTTACAAAACCGTTAACGTACATTTTACAACATGAACGCAAAAACTAACTTAACCTTAAATATTTACAAAGCCGCCAACCATTTCGCCTCACTAACGAACTCACTAATGAAAATAAACGTTCTCATAAATTTTCTTCAATATCTTCATCATCAGTGTTAACTCTATTGTAGTCATACTTGAAGTCATAAAGTTTCTCAAGTTTTGAAATGCATAGTCTTGTTAACTTACCTTCATCATCATAAGTTTTTATAAAACTACCATGACAATCTTTATAAACAGTCAGTGTATAGTCAACTGGTCTAGGATGAAGTGTAAAGAACATGTTATATTAAGGGAGGAAGAATAAATGTTTAAATGTATGTTTGTTATATGTTTTGATTTGTATGAGTTGCTTTTGTTCTGTCATTACATCCAAATAAAAATTTTCAGTAAAAATAAAACTAACGTTAAAAATTTCTCATAACATAAACGTTCTCATTGCTTTATAACTCTCTTCCTTGGTTTCTTTTTAGTTGCTTTCTTCACGTCTGTCTCCAACTTGACTGTCTTTCTTCTTCGTCCATAATGATACCAATTACTTCCACCAGTCAATGGGTCAAATGGTCTTTCGTAAGGGTTTCCATACATTCCATAGGACCTATGGAAAACGCTGGTGGAGAAGAAACATTTTCTTTAGTTCCATCGACTCTATTTAAATGCATTGTTTCACCTTTCATCTGGTCATTAAAGTCTTTTGCGTGTTTTGCAAACTCATCGTCCTTTCCTAAAGCATTTTCTGACTCAGTCGCAACCAAATTGGATGCTTTATTTATGAGCCCTATTTTATTTAATCTTAACTTCTTTGCAACCCAGCCTCCAATCTTTCCTTTATTTGCATCTAATGTCTTTGAAACCCTTCCTCCACTCATTTTATTTACTGCGTCATAAGCTCCAAGTGCTTTTGCTCCAAATGCTAATGCTTTTGTTCCCATTGCGCCTAAAGCTGCCCAAGCTACCATTTACACCATATTAAAATCATCTCTCTTCAATATTATCTCATAAAAGTTCTCGTTACTGGAGAAAGTCAATGAAACATAAACATTCTCACGGGCTTCGCCCTCACCGCTTTGCGGTCTATCTAACTTCTTTCTTATCTCATCTATTCGCTTCAAAATGTCTGAACAATTGCTAACATCTTCTACAACAGTTATTTCATCATGAATGACCTTCAAGAACAAGCTCATTTAATATGCAATTAAAATCATCTCAATAATGAGTCCATCATTTCCATCTTTAGGTAGCACAACATCTTTCATTGAAGAAGGTTCGACAAGTCTTATGTTAAACTTACTGACAAAGTTTGTTATACTATAATGCTTCGGTGGCGAATACATGTAGTTTGAAAGACATAATATAGATTCTTCAGCAAATTCACTTATACTGGATTTTATAACAATGTTCTCACGAGACCAAACGCCACCAATTGACAATCTTGTAAGCAATCCTGCTGAACCTTCAACTGTAAACGTCGATGGTAACATTCCACGAAGGTCATCTATTGACATCTTTGAGTCACTGAATTTAAATATTTTCTTAAAGCAATCGTCATTATCTAACCATGCAATAGCTTTGAAGTTTTCATTCGAATATACATCTGCTTCATTAAATGTAAAACCTGACTTCTTTGCAGAGACGATTTTAAAATCTATTGCATTTGTTTCAAAATTATATGCTATGGTAACTTCTGAAGGTAATGGATGTCCTTCTGCAGTAAGTTGTTCTCTCACTACCGTTTGAAGCTTTGTGTTAAAAACTTTCATGTCATCTCCTGTATCTAAGTTCACATACACAGCAACAGGGAAACTATCTTGCTTCTTTGTTTCATCATTATATCTCAAAACATTAAAGTTCTTCAATAATATTGTCTTCCTGCTGGAATACTTCTAACTTGTCTTATTTCAATAGCTTTCTCACCTCCTACATACTCTACCCAGTGTCTTGGATATTCATAAGTATACTGACTTTCTTGAATTTTGGTTGGTTTCATCATAACGTGTTCATAGTATATCTTTATACTCTTGTCAGTTAGACTCGGTGCTATGTTCTGAATATTTCTGACTTGCATTTTTAATGGAGATAAAATGAAGCATTTAATACATGACGTAGATGAAGACATGAATGAAACTACAGACAAACTTAACTCTTCTCTTATTCTTCCTTTCAGCAAAGATTATGAATTCTGTTCAAATGGTGTGTATTTCTATTGTGGAAAGATGGGTTCAGGTAAGACATTTAACCTCATTCGTCATATACTCATAACAGAGCGTTTAGGAAACGACTCTTACTATGACCAAATCATTATATCAGCAACTTCAGACTCTATGGATTCAACAGCGAAAACATTCATGAGTAAAGTTCAAGCATCTGTCGTTAAAGTTCCAGATAGCGAACTCATTGAATTTCTTCAACGTTACATTCGACGTAAGAGAAAATATTATGCTATTGTAGAGTTCATACAGTCAGGAATGCAAAAGACTTCTGAGGAGATGGAAAGAATTATTGACAAACACCACTTACGTCAGTACTCAGGAGTTTACGATATGAAACGACTGACAAACTACATTCTATCAAAACTTTCAAAATACCCCTTCAAAAAGTATCCTTCAAACACTCTGCTCGTTTGTGACGACTTCGCCGGAAAAGGTTTAGTGTCAAAACCAGACTCACCATTAGCTAACATCATAACTAAAGTCAGACATTACCATTTAACTGTAGCAATACTTATGCAAACATGGAGTTTTTAGCTTTAAACATAAAACGTCTCATAACTGACTTCGTTATCTTTCAAGGTTTCTCACGCTATGATATTGAACTCATTTGGAAACAGTCAGGTATAACATTACCTTTTGAAGAAATTTGGGAAGCATATAAGTCTCTCATCTCTCCTCGTTCATACCTTGAGATTCATATCATGACTAATACCATTAAAGTCAAAAATATTCCATGGGAACGACCAACATTGTTTTAAATCTTATGCTTTAATTGACTGATGGTAAACAAATTCCATGCATCTCTGTCGCCATTTCTGTTAATATTTTTGCTGTCATTCATATCATCCACTTCCCCATCCGTTAGCTTTTGAGGATATGCGTTAGAATAGCTGTTCTTAAATGAAGGCTTTTCACCTTTGAGAGCATAAACTCTATAACTTTCTGCATACTTTATGTTTGAACCTCCTGAGCCATCATTGACATAAATTTTTATAGGCTTCCACCCTTTGTTCATATTCCTGCTTCTTCCCTTTGCTCTTTTGTTCAGTAGTTCTACATCTTTATACACAGCTCCTGTCTCAGTGAATTCAACAATATTTTCATTCGTTAGCTTTACATTCAAACCCTTGTCGAGTATATTGTTCATTTCATACATATAAAAGGTTTTTATTCTATATGAAATGAGAAGCAAATCCATCTTAGCTGGTGCCGTTAATGTTCCAATTGAACCAACATCAAATGTTGACTCACGAACGACAAACAATATTGTCATAAAGAACTATAGTTCGGTGTTTGAAAGAAAAAGAACCAGATCTTAAGTCGGTGAATTTAAACACAGCTTCAAACGCTAACGCTACATCAGATGTTAAGTTAGAGTATCCACCACTGGACCAAGTTCTTTCAAGAGAAGCCAACGACAACCCTTACACAAATGTTCAAACAAATCCTTCAGATAACGTAGACCATTACCTTCTTCAGTTATACCAAACAATTTTACTCAAAGACGATAAGAAGCTTTTGACAAATCTTATAAGTAAGAACCAAATAATTCTAACAAAGGAGGACCTTGAAAATATTATATCACGAATAACAGGAAAGCAATGTGTCATTGACTATCTCGACCCTGAAATCGAATGCTGTGGTCAAACTCCAATATTCATGAAAATAGGTAACATCCGCATCATTGAAACACCAGGTACTCCAGGAGTTGAGTTTAAGTATAAATATTCAAACGAGTATACAAAACTATCTACTTACTATAAGCTTTGTTTGAAATATGTTTTAGTAAATTAAAGCAATTTGTAATATCTATCCAAAACTTCTTCAACAGTATCGAACTCATCTTCATAATGCAAACCTAATCTTATTGACTTGGTGCAGTTTTCACTAACACAATATTTTTCTGTTCTCTTGACTGACATAACTAACTCATTTGTTTCATCAAACAGCAACAACCAAAGTTCATGACCTAATACATAACATTCATACTTTATATTTTTAGCTCTGAGTTCTCTTGTAAGCTGTTGCATTTAATATTTTCTAAAAAGTCAACTTCAACAGTCATTCGCACTGGTGCCTTCAGTTCTACAGGCTCGCCCTGAAAGTCAACTAGTCTGAATTGCATATCTTTCAAATTATGAGGACTAATGCGAACCCATTTACCTAAATGAGTTACTATGACAGGAACGTTTGGAATGAACATTGAATTTACTTCATAACAGAAAGACTTATATTCTACTGAACCTTTACTATTAACTCCTGAAATACCTGTGACATTAGCTATTTTTGACTCAATGTACAAACAATTGCCATAACATACGTATGGAACAGATTTCATCTCAATCGTTTTGTCAACACTTTTCAAAGGAAATGTCATATGGTATGCTCCCAGAAGCAATTGAACTCTATGACTCATTCGTGTTATCTTAAACTCCTTCGCATAACTGAACTTCAAAACTCCTGCAATAAGTTTAACATTCATTAAGTTTTCTTCGTTATCCTTGTTTATTGTAGTATTTATGAGAGCATTTAACACTCCAGCTAATGTTTCCATCTTATATTCTACATTATTGTGAAATCTTATTTCGTGCTTCTTTCCATCTATTTCAAGCTCCATGAAATCTGTTTCGTCAGTTATAACGAATGAAGCAATAGTATTAAAGTCAACATCTGAAAGCAAGCGCTTCATTCTGAGACCTAAGTTTGTTTGTAGCTTGACTGTCCCGTATTCGTTTGGGTCTGTACTTTGTAAATAGAACAACATTTTATTCTCATTAAAATATGACTATTGCTGCATATGCGTATGAAACAAATGAAGCAAGAAGAGCACATGAACTAGTAAACGAAAACTCAACTTTAACCATTGAAGGCAATGATTTAGTCATTGACGATGGAAAAACTAAAAAAGTCATTGATTTCGATACTTTTAACACTTATGACCCATTCATTACAACAAGCAAGGTTCCCATCATAAATGATGGAACGGTGCAATATATAAATTCTACAGTAGATGCCTCATTAGTGAAAGTACTGAATGTTCTCATTGAATTGTTAAAGAGCTTTCGATTTGACGACAACATTAAATGCCTAAAGAATTTAGTCATGAATGAGAAACAAATTCTCGGCGTTGCTGGTAGCAGTAATGATGTACACCTTATGACATTAGAATATTATAACGAACATAAAGATGAACTGAAAGGAGAGAAGGGTGACACCGGACCTCAAGGACCACAAGGAATACAAGGAATACAAGGAATACAAGGACCTCAAGGCGAAAACGGTTTGGATGGAAAGGATGGAAAGGATGGAAAAACTGCTAAATCATGGATATGGGACCTTATAAATACTGGTTTAACAGCTGCTTCATATGGAGTTCTTCAATACCAAATCGGAAAGATATGGGCAGTACTTGGTGAAGAAGCTTTAGATGACGTTAAAAATGCTTTGAACTTCATTTCAAATGGTTCGGATACTATTAAAACTTTATCTGGTTGGATGCAAGAAACAAGGAGTCAAATAGATACTGTAAGACGTATAGCAAACAATGCACGTACGGGATTGGATACTTTACGAGAAGCACAAAATACACTAAAGGAAGCAAATGATATTCTTGGCTCAGTATCAGACATGCATGAAGATTGGCTTAAAGGTATTGACAAATCTTTAAAAAATCACAGTCAGTCTATTGCTGACTACAAGAAAAGTATAGATTTTTTACATAGTGCTATGGACGTACATGATGGAAGCAT